TTTCCAAATATAGACACACTTTCCGCGGAGCTAAACTCCGAGGGCTTCACGTAATCCACTGTAGCTTCGAGGATAGCAAAATCGTAATTAAATCAAATGTATTTATGAAAAAAAAAACTCGATGAACGGTTCCGCGGAGCTGCTAACGACGTCCGCAGAGGCATCTCCACGGAACTGTTCATCGATTTTTTTTTCATAAATACCCCTAAGTTAATATGATTTTGCCATTCCGCGGAGCTACAATAGATTTCATGGAGCCCTCGGAGCTCACCTCCACGGAATCCATATCTATACCTGAAAATCTGATTTTTTGTGTCTATTTTTTGAAATTCAAGCCCGAAAAATATGTATATCCGACAATTTTCCAGGAAAAAAATCATGTTCAGATGGAGAATACAATCTTTGTGGCTTGTGGGAAAAAAAACAACCTAGTGAGGAAACATGAAGGCTAAGGGTTTTTTTGTAATTATCATTTTGTCCCACCATGTTCCACCATTTTGGGTGGGACTAAATTTTTAACAAATTGCCCCATTTGCCTTGGTCAAAAACTGATTTTGTTCTTGTTCCAAGCATACCAAACACCATCTAATGTTTTTTTGTTCCGTCCAGTCCCTCCTACCAAACACTACCTTATAGTAAACTCAAAAACCCTTTTACCCTAATCGATTTTCTCCTTGACTTATAGAGTTTTCTTAATCAATTTTCCCCATGGCTACAATCAAGTATAATTAATCTTCCATTATTAGATTATTACACCCTATTTTCTTTTTTGTAAGTGAATATGAGAGATATTTGGCTCACAACGACTATGATGATATGTTAGAATCTTTTTTTTTTGGTGGGGGTGGGGGGAGGGGGGAAGAGATGTTTTGAATCATCCAGAATTCATTGAATTTTATTGTATATTGAACTCTTTTGGAATTTGGGATCATTGTCTGTTTTATTGTTGACTTTTAGAGGCTTCCATATATACGAGTATTAAGATCCCGATATCGTATACCTTGTTCGTTGAAGAAATTAATTTGAGGATCGTTCGCCTTGTTCATGCATATAATATGGTAATTTATTTTGGCACATTTGATATTGTAAGTTACTTCGGTGTGTTTGATATCGTAATGTGTATGACATTCAAGTTTATGTCCTTAGGGGACTTTTGGCAAGTTTTGCCAAGGTTTTTTTATTTCACCTCAATGGTGTAGTTTGTTGAAATTGCTCTCAAACCCTATTCTTGCATTACAAAGTGTAGCATTTGTCTATGCTTCATATGTTGCATCCATCAACATAATATTTTCCATTTATATATACAACATTTTTGCATTGCTAGTGCATATTTATTACTTATTATATGTTCTACAAAACAACACATACTAAATAGTTAATCACACATATTAAGGAGTTATTATTTTATTAACACCTTAAGTTTATTTATGAATGTTTCTCAACTATTTTGCCTTTTAGAATTTGTTTAGGACATTTTGTAAGGATACTATATAAAATCATCTAAAGTTGCTTCGTCATCTTTTCTCTCCTCTCTAGCTCCATGTTCATTTTCAACCATTTGTACCCCTCAAATTTTTTATTTTACTAGATGCAGTGAAGTCTCTCGACTAGGGGAAGTATGCTAAAATTCTCGAGACTCTAAAAGCAAGGAATTTAATGATCTTTAGGAATTCTATAATGAGGCCTCCAAAGTCTATCGACAATATTCAAGTGCAATTAATTGATGGGGAGTGGAATACGGATGCAAAAATAATCAAATCGGAGATATTCAGTTTTTATCAGACCAAGTTCCAAGCGAAGTGGCCCTCAAGACCTAAGTTCTCCAATCCTAACTTCTCCTCTCTTGACCCAGCATCAAGTGTAAGCCTTGAAGTCTCGTTCACTATTGAGGAGATAAAAGGAGCCATTTGGTCGTGTGGTGGTGAGAAGTCTCCCGACCACGATGGCTTCTCATTCAAGTTCCTAAAGAGATATTGGGGCATATTAAAGGATGACATCGTTAATGTTGTTAACCATTTTGAGAGTACTTGAAGGATAGAAAAAGGTCGCAATGCCTCATTCCTCACTTTTGTCCCTAAGACAAAAGACCCGCTTATAGTTGGCGACTTCCAACCCATAAGCCTAACCGGCAGTATATACAACATCATTGCAAAAGCTCTATCCATTAGACTGAAGAAGGTGATTGGTGTGTGTATAGGCGATGTCCAGACGACATTCCTGGAGGGCAAGAATATTCTTGATGGGCCCCTAATAATCAATGAACTTTGTTCATGGGCTAAAAAGACAAAAGAAAAGATGCTATTCTTTAAAGTAGATCTTAAAAAAAGCTTTTGATTCGGTTAACTGGGGATTTCTTGACCAAGATGCAAATGGGATTCGGTGAAAGGTGGAGAGGTTGGATACAAGGTTGCCTAAGATCATCACGTGCCTCGATTCTCATCAATGGATCTCCAACAAATGAATTTGGAATTAGTCGGGAAATCAGACAAGGCGATCCCCTATCGCCATTCCTATTCATCATAGCAACGGAGGGGCTAAACATTGCTATGAAAGAGGCATGCGAGAAAGGTTTCTTTCGGGGAAAAAAATTCTGAAAAGTGACCGTGTCACATCTGTTCTACGCAGATGATGCGCTCTTCGTGGGGGACTGGAGTGAAGAGAACATCAAGAATCTTGCTAGATTCCTACGATGATTTTATGTATCATCAGGTCTCAAAGTCAACTTAAAAAAGTCAAGAGTTTTTGGAATCGGGGTCGACTCGCAAGAAATTTTATCCTTGGTTACACCTCTAGGGTGTAAGCCTGCAACCCTTCCTTTCACTTACCGGGGGGGTCGGTGGTTGAAAAATTCCAGTTAAGGCTAAGCGCCTGGAAATCAAAAAACTGTCCTTAAGGGGACGTCTAACTCTTACCAAAGCTATCCTTGGCAGCCTCCCAACATTCTATTTTTCTTTGTTTGTTGCTCTCGCAGGTATCCTAAAGACTCTGGAAAAGATAAGAAGACAGGTTCTTTGGGGTGGATCGTAGGATTCAAGGAATATTCATTAGGTCTCATGGAAAAAGGTGACAGCACCCAAAGAAAATGGTGGTCTGGGATTGGGCTCGCTAAAGGCTCTCAATCTTTCCCTAATAACGAAATGGTGGTGGAGGTTGAGAGTGGAAAATACGAGCCTATGGAGTAAAGTCATCGAAGGCATCCACAATTAAGAATAAGCCAGCAGACATTATGTCCAAGAAATCAATTACGGGGGTTCGGAAGAACGTGACTCAAGTATGAGGGGAGTTGACAAAAGTGGGAATTGATATTGAAGATGTAATCCTAAAGGAGGTTGGTACAGGAGAAAAAACAATGTTTTGGCATGACAGGTGGATTGCTAATACGACCTTAAAAGCTTCCTTCCTAGAAATGTACAAACTAGAGCGACACAAATACTGCAAGGTCAATGATAGGGTGATGATTCACCCTGGAGGACCCGTTTAGGACTGGAAGGCTAATATCTCCTTACATGAGCAGGTACGTGAAGCCAACTTGCTTCTTAACAGGGTAGGTAATATCCAATTAGGGACAAGAAATGATAGGTGGGTCTGTAATCTCTCCAACGATGGAAACTTCCACGTGGATGCCCTTAGAACGCGAATCGACTAGCGAAGTTTGTTACCCGGAGAAGTAGCAATAACCTGGACACACGACGTTCCATTAAAGGTTAATTGCTTCATGTGGAGAGCTTACCTTGATCGAATCCCAACTGACTGCGCCCTAATCAAACAGAGTATTCAAGTCACATCCCCCACGTGTACCTACTGTGAAGCTAAAGATGAAGATGCAACTCACGCCCTTCTCTAATGTCAGTGGTGTGGCATACCTGGTTACCAATTCCACAACATTGACGAGCTGGTGAGATTTGCAGCTCAATGGGGGACGTGTCCGAAGAAAAGGAAATGCCTAATCAACATATGTTATGGAACCGTATGGCACATCTGGAAGGCAAGATGCGACTGGATCTTCAAGAAGATTAGGCCCTCGCCAACCAAAGTTGCTTATTTGGTAAAATCTAACGTATTCCTTTGGACCAAGCATATGAGGAATCATTGCTCTTTCCGGTAGGTAGAATGGTCTATTAACCCCTTTAGTTGTATGTAATTCTTCCTTTACCATGTACCTCTGCCCTCCTAGCACCTTGCTAGGTGGGATTTTTGTTTAATAAAAAATTGCCGGTTCCAAAAAAAATTGTTCCGTTGGCCTAAATATAGAGCCAAGATGGCTAGTTTAATTGGCCGAATGGTGTTGTACTACCATCTTGTCTTGTTCGTATTTCTTGTGTATATTTTTGAAGCGTCTAGCTTAGCCTCTTCATAAAATTTTCATTGTTAAAAAAAATATATATCTTCAAGGCTTGAAAACTTTCAGTTTCAAGGTAACTTTCACTAACCATATTACTCCAGAAAACAAATTCAATAAAATGTGAAAATTATTGATTTAAGGGCATCCATAATAATGGGTACTCACAAGGTTTCTATAATTACTAATAAGGCCACTTTCTTTTCATTTGATACATATTAATTTGTCACTTAATGGACTTTTTTATGGCCATTTTCACCTTGGCTTCTCACCCATTGATGATTCCTGTTCAAGGTGAAGAACTTGCAACTTGCCAACTTATATATTAGAACACGTCTCTAAGCAGCTTCTTGTTGGCTTAGAAAATTAAAATTCACAAAGATATATAGCTAGATTAACACAATTTTCTTGAAAGAAAGATAAGGACACCGACAATATCGAATTGAAGATGTAAAACTGTGTAGCTAGATAAAAAAAACCAGTAACGCAAGAAGTCATCATAATAAGTAACGATGATTGACAGAGATGATAAAGAATTAACGTTTTGGTATAAATACGAGTCCTAACTAGTGTTCCTGCTAACTGAAAACCTACTGGAAAAGTTAGTATGGAAGCTATATATCCAAGGAAACTTAACTTCATTGAGAAAAGTTCTCATACATCATATATTATTTAATAATCCATTGATCACTACACAGCTGCACGCTAATTGCTCTTCTATATAGCTCCATCAACCTTCCGGTTCAACAATACTTCCGCTAACATCTGGGCCCATTTTTTTCTCTTTCGGTAGGAACCTACGTATGACAATGCAAGCGAGGGCACACAGCAACAGAAGCCCAAAAACCATTACGATAGAAAAGCACATGCTCCCGTTTTTACAGCCTTTCATCTTCTTTGTTCTGAAATTATCCGGTAAAAATGGTTGAAATTAAAATAAAATAAATAAACAAATATAAGCGCCAATATTTAAGATACGAACTTCAGTATCTAATTAGCAAAATAGCAGGATCAACATGACCCAAGTTGCTAATATTAATTCATTTTAACTGATAATTAAAGATGGGTAAGAATTCATCCGGAAACTTGATGAAGTATTTAATATAACCAAACCTTTCTAGATAGTATGCATTCTAATATGACTAAAGTAGCTACTACCAAGCTAGCTAGGTACGTAACTGATGGTCTAGAATGTCACCACATACGTTTATAGATTTATTGTTCAATAACAAATTAATCAATTCTCATTGCATACCGGACATAAAATCTATAGTTATAACACTAGCACGTACACCACAAAAATAAAGCTTGAAGACAAAGCAATATATAAATTAATCCCTGCGAGTTTATGTACCGTTGTAAATCTGCATCTTCTTCAACTAAAATTGTAACGAGAACAAGAAATTAACATCAGGGATATAGAAAAAGATGAGTGCAATTTTTTTCTCCCATATGGAACAAGCACTCTTAATTCGTCCAATTTTTTTCTACCACGGGCATCAGATTTTCCTTTATATCCTCGATTTATCTTATCCATGAATTAATGCACTAGCTTGTAAATTTACATATCTATGGAAAAATAAATGTTATCGGAACAGACGTAACAAAAAGTAAAGACAAGTGACGTGAAACAGATTATTCAGATATCAAAATCAACATGAAAACCAATTAAAAAATCAATGAAATGCAAGGAAGGAATAAGTTAACTACAACCTCGATAAGGGGTTGCTCCGGAAAACCCTAGAAACGCAGCAGCAGTACTAACACTCGGACAAGGAGGAGCGGGGTTGGAAAAGAGCGTTTTAATTGGGGATTAGGAAAATAAACCAAAGCCCATAAATATAGGCAAAAAAAATGTTATTTATGCTTTAATAAGGTAATTCAGAAAAATATGTAGTGTTTTTTTTTTCCGGCAGAAAATATACAGTGTGATCTTACATTCTTCCTCGGACTGACAGTTGTATTAAGTTGTAATGTACAAGGCAAGATTACAAAAAGTATATATATTTTAGATTCTCTCGTATTGATTTTGCTTTAATATGATTAATATTTGACTAAATTTACTTTTATTATTTTCTTCCCGAACCGGATAATATAGATTTCTGTGAAGCATGTAATTATGTAAATAAGTATAAAACTAGATATTATTTAGTTTCCATATATCATTATCAACGTATATAATTATGTAAATATGAATATATGTTGAAGTATAAAACTGGATATGATTTAGTTTCCATATATCATTATCAACGTCTAAATGACGATTTAAATCCATTATAATTATCACCCTTCAGATTTAAACAAGGACAAATTAAATATCCTCCTACTTTTCTTCATAAATATCTTCATATCCATTTGAAATGATGACAAATGTCCTAAAATATAATTAATTTTATCAAAATATGACACTTGTCACCATTTTGTATGGATAAGAAGATAAGTACGTAGGAAGAAAAAGTAGGAGATTATTTAATTTCTCTTAAACAACATCTATATATAAAAATCAACATAATATCACTTACCATAAAATCTTTTCTTTTATTATTTATTTACTTTATTACTTTAATAAATAACTTTTTTTTTGCCATTTGACATATTCTTATTCATGTTGTCACATGTTATTTTGTGGTTATTTTAAATTAAATTTTTTTCCACCTATTATGGTTTTTCTATTTTATTAAACTCTACATAGCATTTAAATATAATAGTTGTAATAAATTGACAAAACTGCAAAAAATGGTCCCTGTGATATGCATTTTTTCCGAAGTTTAATCCAAACCTCGACTTTTTTGGCTTTGTGGTCATTTTAAGCTAGTTTCATTACGCTTTTGGTCCCCCAGTAAACTGAATGACTGTAATACCCTTTGTGCATTTATTTTTCATTTTTTTTATTTTTTTTTTATCTATTTTAACAATTAAAAAATAATTGAGGGCCCTCTCTCTCTCTCTCTCTCTCTCTCTCTCTTCCATTAATCATTTCTTCTAAAATTGTCTCTCTGTTCATACATTCCCTCATTTCTCAAATAAATATGTAACAATCTGAAGAACGGAAGAAACGAAGTTAGTAACGATTTCAGCATCTCTTGCAAATTCATACGATGTTTGTTCATCTACGGGTTTTAGATTTTTGAAGAATTTTAGAAGGGTTTTGGGGCTTCGATTCATCTACACGTACTTCGTTTCTCAAATTTCTGATGCATTCATCTGTATTTCTTTTTTCCTTTTCATAAGATTCGTATATAATCCACATTGTTCCGTAAGTTAATGCAACTAATTACAGAAGATTATAACAAGTCATCTATTTTCTTTCCCCATTGCTAACACTTTCTATTTTTGTTTTTGCAGATCTTTTGTTGCTATCAGTAGTTGGTGGGATGGGCATATTATTCACGAACACAAACCCTTCTTTCCCAGTTCTTTTGGTGTACTCAACCACCTTGACATCTTCTCTGGCGTTCTTCCCAATTCCTCTCCCTTCAATCCACACATACCCTTTTAGCAAATCAGATGCGAAGTCCTCCATAGACATATCTTCAAACTCTTCCATCTCGCTATCCTCCGTCAACCTCTCCTGATCATTTCTCAACTTGTTCAACATCAGATTCTCGATCAAGGAAGTCGATTTTGATCTCTGGACTTTTGTTTATGAATGAGGCGCAAAATTTTCTTTCCACGGAGATTGACACCATATATGATGTTTGGGTCGACTTGCATGGCAGTCCGATTCATGACTTCGAAATTGAGGTTGGGGTGGTTGAATTTGGCAGGTAGATCGATGTTCCACATCTTTTTCTGAGGTCTCCATTAGTTAGAAATTGGAGCAATAATAAGGTTTTTGGAATTGAGATCCGCTAGGGTTTTGGATGAGTGTTTCAACACGATTACACCTCTGAGAAAGTGTTTTTCTACAAATGTTGTCCTTCCAAAAGTTGCTTAAAGCTTCCGGTATTTGCATTTTAGTTTTCCGTTAGTTTACAATTAGAATCATATTCTACAAACATCAACGAGTCTCTGTGAAAACCAAGGAAAAACCTGGTTATTTGTTGAAGAGAGAGAGAGAGAGAGAGCCCTCAATTATTTTTTTAATTATTAAAATAGATAAAAATGAAAGAGAACTGAAAAAATAAATGCACAAGGGTATTACAGTCATTTCAGTTTACTAAGGGACAAAAAATGCAACGAAACTAGCTCAAAAGGACCACAAAGCCAAAAAAGTTGAGGTTTGGACTAAACATCAGAAAAAATGCATACCACAATGACCATTTTTTGCAGTTTTATCAATTTATTACAATCATTTGTTTTATGAACATTATTATTTTATCAGATCATATAAACACATAAAATCATAACAACTCGTACTGAAATTACTAAAATGATAAAGAGTTTCTAACGCAAAAGTATTTCTTCAAACCACATTATGTAACAGTTTTCTTAAGTGGTTTGATTTTGTGAGGCTTTTAATTCCTATATAATCTATCTTACACAAAATTTTGTATGAAATACATGCATATTAAAAAAAGAAACGCACACAAATTTTCTTCAATTAAATGCATGTCGTTTAAGGCCATTTATTCTAATTAATTAATCAAGTATCACAAGTTAATTAGTCTATCTAAACAATAACGACAATGCACGAGGACTCATAAATTGATGAGCATGTGTATCCTTTTGCTTATAAGAAAAACTAGGTTAATGTGTGCTACACGGTTGACAAAGTAAAACAAAATTGAAATTTTAAAAAACGTACTATTAGTCATAGATTTGTAAAAATATTTTAAAAATAGTTATATGTTTTGGGTTAAAAAAACAAATTATATTAATTATATATGGTAAAAAATAAAGGAATTCAAAAAGATTGCTTGAAATAAGGTAACCAAGTTGCTAATTAGTAGGAGATGATCATGATATCCTTTATTATAATGTTGATTTTGTTTGACTTTCGAAATTTGACTTTTGATATTCGTTATTTGATGCAGTGGGCGGGAAAAGAAATCAGAGTTTATGTGAAAGAAGGACACGTGGATTAATGGTGGTTTATAAGGGGGACACGTGGTTCTTTAGAGGGTCTTTTATTAGGAAGAAAGAAAAGATTTCACATAACCAACATATATAGAGGTAGGATTATCATACAATCTTTTATCCAAAAATAAATTAATAAAATAAACTGAATCTATATATCGTGGAGCCGATTACTCGACAAAAGATGACGAATTAACATTAAAGAGCTCCTCATACATTATTCAAAAAGGAAAACGTTCAAACCATTCTCGTTTAAACCTCATGACCATCTCAAATAGAAAGTTCTACTAAAAAAACCTCCATAGATGTACTTACATAGGACAAATTCAACAAATCCTTAATAGCAAATAATAATAATAATAATAATAATAATAATAATAATAATAAACCACGATTGTGACTATATATTAATTACAACTACAATGCAATGAATATGATGTTCTTATGCATTAAAATGTATATTCTAATAATTTTAGTCATATGATGTCTTAAACTTCTCGTGCCAAAAAATACTGATAATGCTTCGATTGATGATGCTACTTTTAAAATATACACATAATACGATCTTAAATAGAAAAAAAAAATATGAGATTGGAAAGAATGAACAATATTCATCTACTGATCCAAAAAATATGTGGCTTTAATAACACTTGTTAGCATGAAATATTATATAAACTCTAGATCGCACCATATTATTGATCATCAAGATGTAAAAGAACTTCATACCTTAAATATGTTGATATGTTGTATTCTTGATGCTAAACTTTAATGACGAACAAGAACGATGTGTATGATGGTCTTCCTCAAAAAGGCTCCTTAGTTTCTTTCAAATATTCTTTGATGATGGGGATCAAAGAGAGAACTAGAATTTGTTGTGTTCTTTGTATGTTCGGAACTAACTATATTTTATAGCCAAAACATTAGACTACCCATTAAACTCTAATAGTGTCATATGTATGACATTTAATTTAATTATGAATAGCCTTATGTAAATCACAGGCATAAATACCCACATTAATATAGAATAATTAGAATATTATATATTTAATTTTGAATATTCTTACAAGGTTTGCTAGTTTCATTTGTCACATGTAGGTGGTGGGAACAACCTTGAGTGGGCTTATCAGGATCATTGCCTTTAGCCTTTAAATGGTTTAGTGAAGGTTAAGGGATCTTCGAAACTTACACACAGGTCAAGCTAGACAACGCGAGATTTGAGGTTTGTGAAATGGTGTGATTTAGGCACACTTTGTACCATACATTGGTCGTGTGGAGTTTATAAGCTTTTATTATTAAGGTTCCGGGTCGGATCAAGTAGGATTGACCCAATCAACGTGTTGACCATGCGTTTCCTTTGTGGAAAAGCTTACGAATGCGCTGCTTCGAAAGCAAGGTACAACCACTAGGATTTGACATAATCAAATCTGTTTAACACATGGTGAGCCATGATTGGGCTGCCGTCATCATAGTTCTGCAATTTTTGGAGTCTAATAAGGTTTTTGTATATAAGACTCGATGTACTAGAGCCATTTTTTACACACAATATTCAAGAATTATCTCTACTCTCCTCTCATCTCTCTCTCTCTCTCTTTACGAATATGCATTCTTTCAGTTTCCCAATATCAGCTTTTAGTTTATCGGTTATTTGATACCCATTAAAAATAACATATATAATCAATATCATATCACGTGCAGGACAACAAAAAAACAACAAGCCACATGTTAGTGTGGTTTTATGCCTTAAGATACACATGGTTTTTGGATATTCTACATGCTTTTACATCTAATAATAAAATATCAATGAAGAAAAATATAGCAATAAACCCCAAAGCAAAATATAGGTATATTATGCATGCTTTTGAGTCTAACATAAATGATAACATAAACATATTATGGATTTGTATTTTATGTACGTAAAGGGAATATCCTTTTATGTATATGATTGAATATTCTCCCCGATACAGGACCGAAGTGCTTCCCTTTAATGGGATCCACATCATATACTCCCTCCGTCCCAAAATTATAGTTCATCTTTCCTTTTTGGTTTGTCCCAAAATAATAGTCCACTTCTAAAAATAAATAACATTTTTACCAAAATACTCCCTCATTATTACTTAACAAACTAAGCATTTAATGAAACATTAAATGTAAAGTAATGACAAAACTGTCATTTTATTAAATAAAGTTAGTGGTAATTAATGATTTTCTTAATATGTGTGTTTTTTGTCTGTGGACAATAATATTGGGACGGAGGGAGTATAATATTTTATAGAACAAAGTGCTAACCCTTTATATAGCATCTTTATGGTTTGTGTGAAAACTCATCGATCAAGATTTCATGTCTCTTTACAAATCTTACTAAAATGCAAAATTTATGTAGACATATATAGGTGTTGGCATAAAACCTTAGACAAAATTGACTAGGCCATGCGTGTTATCCTATGACAGAAAATAAAGCATAGATGCATATGTGGTCCGATTGGGTTATTTATGCACATTGACCTTGTGTACTCCATCTATCATGTTATGTTGTAAAATTTACAATGTGTGCCGTGTAAGTGTTTAGATCTTGTTTAAGTGTGGCAGACATTAATTATGCACCCATTTAGATTCTTTTTTATACATATGACTTGAACCCTCCATATCATGGAATGAGGCCATTAAGGTTTAGATGACACTAAGAGTAACATCCATTTGTTATATCACAGGCACATACTCCAACCATCTCTCACATATGATATACATAACAGTTCTTATAATACAAGCAAGAGGCGGTCACGTCCTTGCTACAACATAAAGATGAATGTAAAAGATGGAATTTTCTGTCATAATCAACTAATTTACTATATATTTTTCCATCATATAATGTCTTATGTAAAGAATATGGCCCAAGCTAGCTCTATAACGACCTAAATTTTCCATTTCGTCATCGAGGCTAGTTTATGTTACATTCTTTCGTTAAGTTAACCTTTCATCTTGATTAATTTAAGCCAAGTTTTGGGGGTCAAAGTGTAAGAAAATGATTCTTGTTCATGTGTATGGACTAAGGGGTCATTTTCTAATACTTTAAGGGCCTAATTTAAAGTTTACAGGGATATAAAAGCTAATCTAACCCTAAAATCTGGGAAATCTATCTCATTGCAGCTAACAAACCATAGAGTGAGAGAGTGTAACGTCCCAAATATACTAAGTAAAAATTTTGTTTTTAAAACCAACCAAAACAACCATTCATTCATTCCCAAAAGCCATCAAGTATGAAATAGTATCAACTAGTTATCAGAGTACCAAATGAGTCATAAATATGGAACATTGGTGGATGCGATGCCATCATGCCGAGCCCTTCCCTTTCGAACTGGAAGTACCTGAAAAACATTTTAAACATAAACCGTAAGCACAAACCTTAGTGAGCTCCCCAAAATACTGAATACCATACATACATATAAGCTCGAGGCTGTACCGGATCTAGTTCGCCCTGGGTCTATTTCACCCCTCAATCGGTGCTTTCCAACCGAACATATCTATTTCACCCTCATGTCTATTTCACCCCACATATACATAAGATACATGCAAGCATGAATA